GTACAAACCTATTTAACATCCACTATTTTAACATAATATTATGGATAGAGTTTAATTCAGTGTTTGCAAGATTCATTTCACTATTTTTAAATTAATGTCTATATTGCCATGAAGCAATTAGGATTTTCTTGCCTGGGATCTTCCTATTGGTGACCTAATTAAAATGGCCGACTTGGATGTGGGCCTTTCTCCTTTACACAAATCGTCACAGTTCACTTTGCGTTCAGCCTTAATAATCTGAAATTTAATTAAAAGGGTTACATGTTTCTTTTAAAGGAGCCCAAACTCCTCGTCATTTGGTTTAAGGGGCACTGATTTAAATAGCATCACAGCTCCGTTTTTTCCTATTAGCTTTCCTCACTCTCCTTCAGATAAAGCTATTTTTGCTCCTCCTCTTACCTTGTTGGTGACTTTGCAGACGCTACAAACGGGTTTATCGGGCATGGGCTCCAGCTGCTTCTCGGGCGGTTTCTCCGGTTTAGTCTCCGTTCGTTTGTCTGTTCGTTTGTCCGGGACGTTATCCACCTGTTTCCGTTTGTGCCTAAAAACGGACAGACAGAACTGCCCACAGAAGTACATGATGGTGTTGTCGTCGCCCGGGATGGTGATCATGTCCCGGGGCTGAAAGATCTCCCTGAGAAGAGAGGCGCGTTTCTGTTATTACATCATGAGACATTAAACGAGAAAAGAGACTTTAAGTCACACTGAGATAAAGCAAAGTTAACTCACTTACAGTGGGGGAAATAAGTAGTTGACCCCTTGCTGATTTTGCAGGTTTGTCCACTTACAAAGAATGCTTATTTTTCCTCATCAGATGGTTATCAATTTTTATAAATCTATATGATGTGATTTTCTGGAATTTTCTTTGGGATTCTGTCTTTCACTGTTAGAATGTACATATGATTAAAGTTATAGATCGTTGCATTCTTTGTAAGTGGGCAAAGCTGCAAAATCAGCAAGGGGTTATTAATTCAAGCAATAGTAATATAATAAATTAATAGTAAAATACATTTCTGACAGCTGTGTATATAGTGCTCTCCGTATATTAATATTATTTAGAATTTTCATTTTTAGAAATCTTCTCTTGTATGTAGGGAAAAATAAAGCAAATTGTAGGTTTTGGTGTCAGCAAGGGGTCAAATACTTATTTTCCCCACTGTAAACATTATTAATTCAACCAATAGTAATATAATAAAATAATAGTAAAAGACATTTCTAACCAGGAGCTGTGTTTATAGCGCTCTGTGGATATTAATATTATTTTGAATTTTCAATGGATTTTTAAAAATCTTCTCGTGTATGTAGGGAAAAATAAACGAAATTAATAGTAAAATAAATTTCTAACTAGCAGATTTGTTTATGGCGCTCTGTGGATATTAATATTATTTAGAATTTTCAATAGATTTTTTCTAATCTTCTCGTGTATGTAGGGAAAAATAAACCAAATTAATAGTAAAATAAATTTCTAACTAGCAGATTTGTTTATAGCGCTCTGTGGATATTAATATTATTTAGAATTTTCAATGGATTTTTTCAAATCTTCTCGTGTATGTAGGGAAAAATAAAGCAAAATGGAGGTTTTGGTGTCACCTGTGGCACTGGAAACAGGCCCGGTTCTTATTGGCTGGGGGAAGGTGTCCCGTTAGACAAACTGTGGAGCAGAAGAGCTGCGTTGAGCCTTTCCTCTGGAACGCCGTTTGACCTTTCAACAGAACCTGCAGACGAGAAAATAAGCATGAAAAATATCAGCCTCCTGAGTCCGACGCACAAAGACCAGCTCGGCTCCTCAGGGAGAACCGAACTGTCCCATTTCATGAATTCCTATCAGGCAGGAGGTCCTGGATCAGCCTTTTGGGTTAGTCTGGAGTACGGCCGCCATGTTGGATTAAAGCAGTGCTTCTCAAATAGTGGGGCCCGCCCCCCTTGGGGGGCGCGGTGCGATACCTGGGGGGGCGCGTGTGAGCCTGGGGAACAGGTTTTTTTTTTTTTGGCCGTACTAGTATAAAGTGTAATTGCGCATCCACTCCTGTAGGGGCAGTGGTGTCTCATCGCTACTTCGGTGCAACATTTTACGACTTAAAGACGACAGGTTAGCCTCGGTTAGCATCTGCGTTCTGTCTGTATCCTCCTTTATTCAACATAACAACCCCCAACATGGAAAAGTTTTTAACAGGGATGAAAAGAAAAGCGGAGAGAGACAAAGATAATGAGACTAAAGAAAGTCACCCAAAAGCTAAGTGTTTTATATATTGTGCTCCTGAGTTAATGTTGCTTAACTGAAACTAAATTAGTTATTATTTTTGTTGTTTTTGTAGTTTATTATTATAATTATTAAATATTATTTACTGATTTTGATTTAATTTTGCAACGGTGCAATTAGTTGGTCAAACATGTTTACAGTTTAAACAAGGACTTATTTATTTTAATTTCAGGCATTGATGCACTTAAAATCTTTTCTGTTGCAGACTTAAAACACGATTTAATAAAGTTGTAGGTTTGACCATACGTCTTTCTTTTTTTCTTTTCTTTAATGTTAATAATGATAAAATGTTATGCAGAGATGGATAGTCACGGTGGGGAGTGGGGGGGCGCAAAACTTTTTTTTCTTGCTAGGGGGGGCGCAACAGAAAATAATTGAGAAGCACTGGTTTAGGGGATGAGATGGAGTTCAGGCTCCAGGGGAATATGGGAAACCTGCTCACAGATCAGCTCATCCTTCCACTCGCTCTCAAAACAAACCTGCTCGTCCCTCTAATGAAGCGTTCACAGCTTTTCTTTCTTTTAAAGGAGACATATTATACCCTATTTCAACAAGTTAACCTAGTTCCCTGGTGTCCTAATGTAATGTCTGGGACAAGCTTTGGTCAGAATCCCATAAGGATGAAGCCCAATAGCAGTTCAGTCCCCCTGCCTAA